GCTTCAGCCACTCGTCACAGAACTAGGGACCTTCTGCAGAATCCTGGAGCTCACCCGCTGAGGACGGCCCGGGGTTCATGCCTTGCATGAGGGCTGCAGCTTCTTAGACAAAGGATTCCTCGGTAAGACCTTGGTATGAACAGGGACGCTGCAGTCCAGACTGCCACCGGGTCCCCTAAGGGGGGAATTTTCCATCATGAATGAGTGAGCCCTCCTACAAACTAGTAACCAACCCCAACCCATCTGAAGGTGTCTGCCTTGTCGGGTTTTTTTCCCTACAAGCCTGCAGCTGAGTGCAGACGTCTGGAGAGGGAAGACACGAGCGGTATTAATGTGGCCCTACTTCTCTCTCTGGTCCCTTCTCAGTCCTTCATCCCACTATAAGATCTCATTCTTTATTTTCTGTTCTTACATTGCTAAATTTTCCAATTTTTTTAAAAAAATTTCTTTCATTCATTGTTGCACACTTTTGTTAAGGTCTGACACTGCCTCTCGCACACCAACCGCACGTTTCTACGGCGGAAGCTCACTGCTCGATGCTGGGCCCGTTCCCAGTCAGGGCAGCTTGTGGACCCGCTGCTGCAGCCAGCAGGTGGACGTCATGAAGCGTCTTCCTCTTCACACACACCCCACCCCGCTTGTGCTGACCATCCGCAGGGAATTGTAGTGTTGCTCCAAAGGCCACATGCCGCTGGTTTGAATCCACTCCACAAAGGAGAGATGGGTAATCTCCTCCCCAGGCATGATGTTCTTCTCGAGAGGGGTCCCTCCTGAGCATATGCTGGAGACACATGGTCTCTTCACCCTTGCTTCGAAGGAACACTTTGCCTGTGCATTCTCCAAGGATTTCAAGGATTTGTTTTGTTCTACTGGCAGTCCCTGTGTATTCTTCACCAGCACCGTAACTACAGGTACCTACCACGAGCAGAGGCGGCCAGGCTACTACCCGTAACCCAGCAAGGAATCTGGACTGTTGCTGAGAGTATTATACTTTCTTCCCCCCTAAGTGTCCAATCACTTGGCTGCATTATGATTTGTAGTGGAGCACCGGCTAACAGGCAGGTGACTGACCAGCCTGTCTTTACTCTGCTGATTCAGAAATGCAAGGGGAGAGACATTACTGCTTTTAGTTTACAGTCAGAGGCCCTGTATCCCAAGGGTCCACATCATAATTTGGGATAAATTTCCCCACACAAAGGAACTCATGCAATATTATTAAAAATGGTTGACTCTGGAGAGCACTATGCTGAGTGAAATATCCCAGTCACAAAAGGACAAATATTACATGATGCCACTGTTGTAGAATGGGACTGT